GGATGTCAATTCACGTGACCGTGTAAGAAATACCTTTTTCTGACTGCTTGTCTATTTAACATGTAACTTGCACCTTAATCCACTTTTTAATGTAAATGACCACAATTACACACACGCAGAGGATTTGTAAGAATCATACTACCCAGATTTCCTTGTAGTACAGGTGAGACATAAATGTAATATGAAGTTCATGCAAATATTTGCACTCAGTCACAAATGAAACAAAATGAAAACTAAGCTTGAGAAAGATGTGCTATGGTTTTATGATTTAAACATCTTCCTTTTGAAGTTTAATGTCAAATTCTCAATCTTCTTTTTTCTTTTCAAGATAGCCAAGCAATTCTCTATTGTAACAGTTTCATATCATCTTAGATATTTCAGCCTAAAAAGTACAAAATGAAATACTCTATTTCTACTTTCAGATTCCTAGTGCTTATATTTTCTACCTATAATAATGGTAAACCTGCAATCTTATCTATGACAGACAGAGATTATTCAGCTGACCTGATTTTTAACTTCATAGTATTTGCCCATTTCTTGCTATAGCTGACTCAGGAAGCCATATTCAGTGGATCCAGGCTAATTTTAATGCATGTTTTTTTTTAATCTAACTGTTTATTTGACTGCTATTTTTCCTGTTTTGGTACTATAAGCAAATTCTTGTTGACTACCAATCTTACATATAGATTTAATTCTCACATAATACTGTCATTGTGCAGTTTGTTTGTTTTTGATAACATAATTTATGAATTTTCCTATAGTTGACTAGCATTATCTATGAACAAGTCATTAGAGTTATTCAACAAACTGGTTAAAAATATTAGCATTATATGTGAATTTAGACAGTGTGGTATTGTCATCTCTCTACTGCAGGAGGGAGACAGTGCCCTGCATGATGCTGTACGCCTCAATCGCTACAAGATAATTAAGATGTTGATTTTGCATGGGGCAGATATGTTGGCCAAAAATCTGGTAAGTTTTGACCCATTGTGCATATACCCTGGTTTATGTAACTTACATTTGCAAATAAATCAGTAGCAACAAAAATAACAGCAAAAGAAATGTGGTTTCTTTTTTAGATGCTGTCCAGTGGTATTCAATAAATCAGCAAATGCATAGCCATATTTTGAAGAAATGGAACATTATCATGTCAGTTTAGAGTTTGTCAAATGTCTTTATCTCTATTTCTCCAATACAGGCTGGCAAAACTCCTGCAGATTTGGTGCAGTTATGGCAGGCAGATACACGGGAAGTGCTGGAAAAGAAAGAGCCAAACACAACAGAAATGCCAACATGAGATGTAGTTGGATGAACAAAGCAGACACTCACAATTCAAAGCAAGAATGGTTTGAGATTAAATAAATGTGGTCACAAAACACCAATAAAGATGCAATCAAAACAAAACAAAGCCAGAAAATCAGTGGAAAAACAGCTATTCTAATGTTCTGTTTAGTCAACCATAATGCTACTTTATCTTTGGCAGTTGCATGATGAGATTACGTTCAATAGCTGAGAACTTTCCATTTTTTTCAAACAGGCATTGTGAAATTTCTGCTTGTCACACAGTTGTTAAAGGTCTGATAAACAACTGCAATTCTGATATCCACTGAGTCAAATTGCACTTAGCTATTGATAATTCCCACAAGTTTCCAACAGCTGCATGATAACAAACTAGTTGGATATGACACAGTTCAAATGTGATTGCTCTGGGACTGCTTGCAGGTGCAGATAACCATGTGCATCTTTTCCTATAACTGGCCAAGTAGTGAATGGCAGAAGAGACTCACAGCTTGAGAAGCAACAGCCTTTCTGAATGCAGAACAATCTGCTTTCAAGCTTCCAGAAAAAATAAAAGACCAGCAATTCAATGGCTACAGGAAAAGCCATTCCATAAAGGAAATGTAAAAACTTTCTCCACAGCTTTTGCTTTTGCAAGCAGAATGTAAAGGAGACTTTAAACTGGGCCTTAACACTGTTTGAATAGATACCTTTTTACCAGGTAACTGAATTTTTTTTTTAAAAAAATACTAAACATATTACAAATGTCAACAGAACTCACCTATAATTACTATTAAATAATTGAAACAAATTAAAACCATGTACAATGAGATTACAAAAACAAAATTGTTTAAGGGGGTAGGGGAACATCATCACCAATTAAAAAAATGTAAGAGTAGAAACATACAAAAGCAAGTAAAAATAATGACAAAAGATCACCATTACATACAAACTCATAATAATATAGAATAGGTAGTTGCATGATTTTTGCTTTAAAAGAAAGATTAACAAGAAAAGTGAACAATCCCTCCTTTACTACTACTGCCTGCCAGCTGCCAGCAGTTTGACAGTTCTATTTTCACCGGTTCAAGGTTGACTCAGCCTTCCTTCCGAGGTGGATAGAATGAGGACCCAGACTGTTGGGGGTAATAATCTGACTCTATAAACTGCTTAGAGAGGGCTGTAAAGCAGGGCTTTTCAACCAGTGGTACGGGTACCACCTGTGGTACATTGGCACCTGGCAGGTGGTACGCAAGCATTCTAGAAAAGTGGTAGCGGGGGAGGGGAATGAACTGAACCGGTGGCAGCACCGCACAAGCCTAAGTGAGAGATGGCCGGAGCTGCAGGGCTGTCAGGGCTCAGCGGAAGCGCCAGGATCGGCACTTCTTCGGGAGTGTCAGGGCTCAATGGAAGCGCCAGGATCAGCACCAGGCTCCAGCTGGAGCTTGGCGCTGATCCTGGCGCTTCTGCTGAGCCCAGAAGAAGCGCCGATCAGCTGGAATGTTGCAGCATCTCCAGGGTCTGGTGATTTACATTCAGATGCTTGGCAACTGATTCATATTTATGACCGTCACATGTCCCAGGGTCATGTGAAGTGACCAAAACCTGCTGCAACCACCCAGCAGATGGGGGGGAATAAAAACCAAACACCCCCACTGCACCCCCGCTGCCAATCCTCAACAGAAATGCTCACAACAATGGAAATCTGGGAAAGGAGGAAGAGTGCCGCCAGGTGGGCAGGCAGGTGTCTTGTTCAGCTGTGGCTTGGGGGGCACTTTTTTCAGTGCCATTGTAACTTCGAACAGTCATTAAGTGAACTATTGTAAGTCAAGGACTACCTGTACTTTATCACATTTTTCCTTTTTTTGGTCATCAAGTTTTTGCTAGGCAACTGGGGGTACTCGGATATTGTCATATCCTAAAAGTGGTACAATGGGTGAAAAGATTGAAAAGCCCTGCTGTAAAGCACTGTGAATTGGTATATAAGTCTAAGTGCTATTGCTTTTGCTACTGGTATTTACATATCAATGTTAAAATTGTAAGTGTAAGAAGAAAATGCAATATGTTATGAGGGTGACAGTTGCAAAGTTGCACAAACAGACACAATATACTGAGTATGTGAAGTCAGTACAAATTGCGTTATTTCTATGGTAAAAATAGTATCAGTGCTGATTACAACAAGGCTACAAATCATGTAAAAACACAATACTCCACTCTATAGTCAATTTAGACACAAAACTAAAGTTGAAAAGACACAAACATGTGTTGTCTTTTTTGTTTATCTTCTAAATTTAAAACAGTACAAAAGAAAAATGTAACTTTGATCTAGCCATCTGTTAACACTATCTACCAACCACAGCAATGCATGGACTAAATATTAATTTGATTAATTCATGTCCAAAGCATACATTTCAGAGAACTGCAAAGTCTGACAACCTGGAGAACCTATCACTTTCTAGAGTGTGAACCTAAGCATCAGTTGGGTGGCTGCCATGAGCTTGTCTGCTGGCCTTACTTTCTAAGTTGCATATTCACTTAAGAACAATTCACTTGAGGACATAGGACAACCTTTGTTTCTTTGGCAGAAACGTCGTTTCCAATATTGCATAAGATGCATTCCGGGTGAACAGGGCAGCCAAGGCTAAATTGGTTTAACAAATGGAGATCAGATGTTGGCAAAATAACAGTTATTATTTTGTGCTCATTAAAAGCATTAACACCCTTCAGCAGTGAACAAGGCACATTAAACTGAATAAAGAAAATGCAAACTCTGCCATGTTGCCACTCTCTAGTCAGCACAACTAGAGTCAGCACACTGGGAGTTTTTCTATGGATAATTGCATTGCCTAAACCTGGATGGTATTATGATAAGGAGAGAAAGTACTTCTGAAACATTGGTACAGCTAAGATACACTTAAGCAGGTCTCTTTGAAGGGCTAGGGGCATGCTGAAGACATATCATGAAATGCCCCCCAAAGATGTTGCCAGGGCATGTTTGTGTCATGGTTAGGTGAAAATGGGGGAAAGCCTATAATTCCCAAGAGCAACCTCGAAGTTTATAAAATCTGTCAGGGTTTGTCACTGCTTACCTGGGGGGGGGGAAGGGGGAGGATTTGAATGACTGAATGGATCTGAAACAGCCAACAGATGCCAGTGTTGTTTATTAATGGAATTTATAGGTTGCTTGGAGTAGTCTCAGACTGGAACAGCTATAACTCCCATAAACAAGCTCAAGGGATGTTTCTGCTTTGTTGTGACAAAAGGCTATAAAAGCCTAATTTATATCAAAGCAAATAAACCCATTCTCTCAGCAACCTCTTTGCTTAACTGTGGATTATTGAATAAGCCACGTTTTTAGCTAAGCAAGTATTTGTGGGGGGGCAAAATCAAATAAACCATATTATGACATAGAGCACAACTGCCATTTTGCTCTCTTTTTCTGGCCTGTCATTGTCGTTTATTCTGCTGGTATGGCTGTCAAGAAAGGCTCTTTTTTGTTTTTTCACCTTAACCTCTGGCTTTCCCCTCTTCTTCCTCTTCTCCATAACTGCCTTTTTCATGGATTTTATCAAATTCAGTCCTCAAATACTTCCTTTTGTATACTGCTTTGAATAGCATTGAGTGAAGCGATTTATAAATTCATAGATAAGGAAACCCTAGACTCAGAGGGAGTTTGGCCTACTTCCGTATGGGATCAGGCCCAGCCTGAAAGATGAAAAGGAACCGAAGAGAGGGAAGAGATGAACCGGCGCCTGCTTTCTCATTTCAGTTCTCCTAAAGGAGGTCAGCCAGCCGTGTTCAAGCTGAAATGTGAGATCTGACTTCCCGCCCCTCGGGCGGTCTTGGAGAACTTTTCCCCCGCCTTCTTCTAGGGATCCGGTGGTCCGGAACGGCACAGTATTCGCGTCAGGCAACAGCGGGATGGCCAGGGCGACCCTAGTCCCGCGCTTTCTGTACCCCTTTTGGCAGCGGACCCCTTGCGCGAGCCCCGCGCCCGTCGCGGCGGGAGGCGTTTTCCGAAGGTTCTTGGCTGCAGCGACACCTGCTCGCCGCCTAGATCTGCGGGGTATCTATCCGCCCCTCGTCACCCCTTTCACGTCTCAAGGCCGTGTAGATTACGCCCGGTTGCAGGAGAATCTGCGCCTCTACGCCGAAATCCCCTTCCGAGGTAGGGTTGGCATTTTTTAGGGGAGAGGGGCACGTGGGGTCCTTTTGGGGTACGACATTTGTCAGGGAAGGGAGGCGAGAGGCTTGGGTGCCACTCGGCCTTACTTGCTGCATCCATGGCCAAGTTCTGTTAAATTCGTTAACTAACTTGTGGCTGTAGCCTGTGATCCCTGTGGAAAGAGGGGGGGGGGAAATCTCTTTTTTAAAAGAGTTTCCAGTATGCTTCCTTTTGCTCTCTAAAATCAACCAACCAGCTTACTCTTCTTGTTTTCAAATTGTGGTTATGAATCCAATTAGTGGTGGTTTATTAGTAAATTCTAGTTAAATAAAATGTGATATATTAACTTGTTCATAAATGCTGAACTCAGGCCATCTGGACAGACTTCTGTTAAAAGCACATTCCTAGCATGGAAAATACTCAGTTTCAGGCAAGAAACTAACATGTCTCACTGTGGAGAAAGTGCAATCAGTAAATTGTAGCAGGAAGGCATACACCTGTTACGGCTGAATATTATCCAGAATTATTTTGTTGTTGTTCCATTGCTAAATTGTGTGCAACTCTTCTCAACACCATGAACCATAGAACACTAGGGTTCTACTGTCTTCCACTGTCTCCCAGAGTTTGTCCAAAGTCATGTTCATTTCATTGATGACATTAACTAAGCATCTCATCCTCTGCCATCTCCTTCTGCCCCACTTTTTCCAGTTTTGTTAGTTTAAGAAAAATTAGGAAAAAAGAGATTGACCCTTCTTACTTTATTAGTGCTTTCAAAGGATGGGAAAGAGAAGCACAGCCGAATTACTTTGTATTCAAGGATACGCATAGTTGCCCACCCAGACTTTAGACCTAGCCTACTGTAAATGGAACATGGAGGAACATGCACTGGATAGCAGATTTTCCTATCTCTGAGTAATGTTCTACTAACATTAACTAGCAGATAACCATATTAAATCAATAACAGCTTGTATACTTCTTGAATTCCCAGGAAGTGTATTCTTTCCTAAAGCTCTTAGTTCATCTGCTCTCAGGATAAAGCTGTTGTGTTTTCATGGAAGTGATCATATGTCTAACTATATTGTCAAGTAGAAATTCAACCTATTATTGCATCTTATTTATTTGTGTATTGCATTTATTTTTTAATCTTTCTTTTGAGAGAAGCTGGAGGTTGTAAATAGAAATCTTTACTTTTATCCCCATACTAAGTTGTGAGGTAACTTGGGCTGAAATAATATTGCAAAGTTCCCTACTGAACAATGTTCCATTTGGGATTTTAACCTGAAACTCCTCAGTTCAACTGTTGGTAAAAGTTAGACTAGGCTTTTGCAATACTATATAGCAGTGTTTCTCAACTTTGGCAACTTGAAGAGGTATGGACTTCAACTCCCAGAATTCCCCAGCTAGCTGTGCTGGCTGGGGAATTCTGGGAGTTGAAGTCCATACCTCTTCAAGTTGCCGAAGTTGAGAAACACTGCTATATACAATACTGCCTTGGAATCTACTGAAAAACTGAGTCAAAACATGGCAGTTAGGCTGCAGGTGCAGGAGATGTGTTCCTCTAAATATTATTAGGTGACGATTGCCATCAATCTGACACATTACCCATAAGGCTGGAATTAATAATAGTTGTAAGTTCAACAGTATATAGAGAGCCACTAGTTCCTTACCTCTTACTTCAATATTCATCTGGAACATGTATCTCTCTTGTTTTAAAATATGCTACTATGTATTTCAAACACAAATGAAAATGTGAGTTGTGACTTTTATACAGTAAGCAACTGAGGACCAGAGTATAAAAGAGCTTTCTTCCACTTCAATATAGTATTTTAAACTTCAGTATTTGTAACTGAGAACTAGACATTTAAATGGTAGTGCCTTTACTTTGGAATTCATTCTCAAAAATAGATTTGTATATCACTTCCATCTTTTGGATGCAAGATTAAGACATATTCACCAGACCTTGACTAATGTGGCTTGTTTACTGTTGTGCATAGACTACTAGTTTCTTAATGCCTGCTGCTTTTTCTATTGTTTGTTCATCTTATAGTTCTATAATGTTAATTATTTAATTCATTGATGACGGTATGTTGCTTTGGAGAATTTTAGTTTAAAAACATAGGTAATCCTCAATTTAGAACCACAATTGAGCCCAAAATGTCTGCTGTTAAGCAAGATGGTTAAGGGAATATAGGGGTCACCTACACTACGACCTTTCTTGCCACAGCTGTTAAGTGAATCATTGCAGTTGTTAAGGTAGTCACGTGGTTGTTAAGTGAATCTGACTTCCCCATTGACTTTGCTTGTCAGAAGGTTGCAAAAGGGGATCACATGACCCTGGAACACTGCGACCATCATAAATACATGCCAGTTGCCGAGCATCCAAATTTTGATCACAAAACTGTAGAGATGCTGCAACGTTTGTTAAGTGTGGAAAAATCGTCATAAATCACTTTTTTCAGTGACGTTGTAACTTTGAATGGTCACTAAATTACTGGTTGTAGGTCGAGGACTGCCTGTATGCATACTTAAAACTATAGTATCGGTGGAAACTTAAATATCTACTCAGTGTTTTATTTTCTTATTTCTTTAGGTTTTGTAGTACATGGTTCCAATGGGGAAGCCCCCTACTTGACACAAGAGGAATGCCTGGAAGTAGTGATGCGGGTGCACCAAGCTCTGCCTAAGGAAAACCTCCTGCTGGTTGGGTCAGGATGTGAATGTGAGCAATAAAAAAGACTAGAGGAGTCGGCCTCTAGCTGACCATACCTTATATAAGGATTCTATGTTTGGTGCCTTATTTGACCCTCAAAAAGCTCCTAATATCCCAAGAGCTGCCCTTTAATTCACTTATATTTCTTCCCTTAGCAACTCACTGCACCATTGAAAAAACAAAACAAATGGCTGACAAGGGTGCTGATGCTGCTCTTGTGGTAACTCCTTGCTACTTCCGTGGAAGCATGACTAGTGCTGCCTTGATCCATCATTACACACAGGTAAAGAAGTGGGTCAGGATATTCTCTGATTTATATTTACTAGATTGAAGTGGTCTCAAAGGTATCACATTACACCTTGAGCCGAAAAAGTAAAGCTGACATTATGGTTTAGTATTATGTATAAACCAGATCAGATGATTGGTACTAAAGAAAGTTTTGAAGGTATGATAAGATGAGGTTACGATGGAGGTGTTATGTATTCCTTATCTGTTACATGTTGTTTGAACTTGAAGGTATTGTTAGAATTCCAACAAAATAGAAATTCAACTATTTTTTTAAAAAAATTCTTGATTCAGGTGAAATTTCTTACATTATTTAATGGCTGATTGCAGATAGTAGTACTTTGTCTCACATTCTTTTGCTTGGAGACTGAGAGTTGAACAGAAAGCTGAAAGTGAATAATGGGAATTTGCATCTTCCATTCTTTTTCATTATAGAGTTGAGACTAACTTCTCAGTGTTCATTCTCAAGACTCTGAAAATTTCACAAGCAGTTGAAAAGGCCTTTCTATATCGATGTCCTCCACATTTGTTGGAATTGCTGCATATAAGATTTGACTGTGTTGGGAATACTGGGAATTGTAATTCCAATGTATTTGAAAGATGCCATCTTAGAATAGGCTGAGTTAAAACAATTGGTAGATCACAAGCCATTCTTAAAGTCATGGTAATTTCCATAGAAGGACTACAATTTTGAAATTTGCTGTAGTGAAAGAATGGACATATCACAATTCAGCAAAATATTATATTCCAATGATCTACATTCTACTGAACAGGAAATGCACGTAACAGTTCAGTTGTTCAGATTCAGTCTAAATACTGAAGTGCAATAACAAGCTGAGTAAAATTCAAGGCAGATGCAATTACAATATCTGTGCAACAGAGGTACATAAATTGGGACCTCAACAATGTATATTCCTCTAAAAGCCTCAGACATCCTCCAGAAGCTGGCACCAAAGTATAGTGTTTATTTTGACAGCTGAGAAAAATACTATTAGAATTAATTAATTATATTTAGTCAATTAAATTCAATGTAGCTTTTATCTTGGCCCTGCCAACTGTTTAAAGTACAGCCCTTAACATATTAGCCAAAAACTAAGTCTGGCCTTCTGTTTGAAAAGAGAAAATATGGCACACATCCACCATCCTAGTTCTACAATAATTTGAGATTGCCTTGTATTGCCTGGACTTGGGTGAGAGGACTTGCTGAAGAATGATATTGTAAGGGCAGTTTGTTTCTCACTGGTAGATTGTTTCCCTGTGTGCCCATGTACTTTACTACTTTATGTCCCCAGGTGGCTGATGCATCTCCAATCCCTGTGATACTGTACAGTGTTCCAGCCAACACAGGCTTGGAACTGCCCAATGAGGCAGTGCTCAGCCTCGCGCAACATCCTAACATAGTGGGGATCAAGGACAGTGATGGCAATGTGAGTGAAATATGTCAACCAGGTGCTGCACTAATGTGATCCCCCTCAAGGGGATTCTTATTCCTTCTTAGTGATATAAGAATCTATGTATTGGGTATCAGATTAGGGGAAATTTTGCTAATGAACTTCTGCAATCTAAAATTTTTCAACAGACCTGTCTAGATGCATGAAGCTGGAGACTGTGTGGTCCTTAGCTGTCCTTTAAATATCTAGACCTTCTTTGTAAAATAAAGTAGAAAAATACAAAACTTTAAAAATATAACAAACCTTAGACTGGCCTTCTGATGTTTTGACTCTTAATTCCCATTACCATTTTGGATATGCAGACTAGAGCTGCTGGGGCTTTTAGGACAAAACATCTGGAGAGATCCACATTGGAAAAGGCTGCTTTAGCAAAAACAAGTGGCATGAACAGACAATATTAAGATGCTCGTTAAGGTGCCCTGTATTTGTGACTTCCTTGGCGTGTGTGCTTATGAGTGCAGTATCACCATGAGCGCCCTGTGTTTTTGCTAATGGCACCTTTTGGCATTTCAGTTGTGACTGGTGATTAGTGCTATCTTCTGCTACCAAGCCAACCTATCTTTTATCAGATTACCCGCCTGGGGCTGCTTGTCCACAAGACGCAGAATGAAGACTTCCAGGTACTGGCAGGATCAGCTGGTTTTTTTCTAGCCAGCTATATTGTAGGTAGGTTGTAGGATAAATATTTCAAGATATGGCGAAGCAATACAGAATAGGAAAGCAGCTATTGTAATATTTTAAAAAACACTTAATACCGGTAGTTGTATTATAATGTACACGATTGCTAAGAAGCTGTTATTAAGTTAGTATGCTCTAGAATAATGCAAGAAAGGCAGTTGGGGTGGAGGAAGTATATATGGGAAGGTGAATAGTTTATAAGCTAGACATTTTCTATTGACTCTGAGCTCTACCCTAGGTGCTACAGGAGGAGTCTGTGCCCTTGCCAACGTACTAGGCAGTCCTGTCTGTCAGCTTGATGATCTTTGCCGTGCAGGAAATTGGAGTGAAGCCCGTGAACTGCAGCACCGATTGATTGAGCCAAACATTGCAGTAAGAGCCCTTAAATCTGGGGGAACTTAAAGATTCTAAAGTGGAGCTATCCTTGTTGGCAGGTTATGGGAAAGAAGGTTAGAATAATAAAAATTGAATATTTTAGTGGCATTCCCATAGCTGGGAATCAGTCTGAAGTCCAATTCTATTCATTTGACAAAATAATCTTCTTTGAACTGGATGCTGTCAAATTCAATGATAAAGCAGTTTTGCTAAATCATTGTCTACTGACCTCCTGCTTTCATTCCAGTAGTTTGAGCTTATCACATTTAAAATTTCTATTTTGCTTTAAAAAAAAAAACAGAGGAAAAGATCACAATATTTAAAAAGCCTGTGTTTTATTCACATGGTGTGTTTCCAAAATGTGTTCTTCCCCTAAAAAACTTTTAAATTATGAATTTTGAAATACTACTTTCAGATTAATTTTGGCATATTTTTTTTAAAAAGATAGCCAGGACTTTTAATTCCTTTACTAATTTTCCTAATCCTTCTGTTTTCCATAATTCAATGCTAGAAATGTGCTCTCTGTGTCTAAGGTACCAGAATAAATTTGTGATGTCTCTTGTTAAAAGACATTTAAATGTAAATTTAAACAATTGGCCTGAATCAATAATGGATTTGTACTAACTCCAGATCTTACGTTACCTAAGTAAAAAATCATCATTTGCTCCAAGAAAATAATAATCTACATTGTTTCAAGGAGTCTACATTGACTCAAAATGCTGAAATGATGCAGACATGGCTTCCTTACCTAGGTTTATGAAAAATTGCAGAGAAACAATTGTCTGTCATTACCAATCTTCAGATAGTACAAATCTTCAGTCTGTGCTATTTTCTGTGGTGCTTGCATGAAAAGAAATTTGCAAACAGTTATTCTGCAATATTAGTCAGATAGTAGCTTTTAGAATTTTATATTGTTTGTTTTTTAAAAGGTCACCCGGAAATTTGGGGTCCCAGGTCTCAAGCAGGCAATGGAGTGGTTTGGCTATAAAGGAGGCTTTTGCCGTGCCCCCTTGCTCCCATTAACTGAGACACAATTAATGGAATTACGCCGTGATTTCACCTCCAATGGCTGGCTCTGAAGGACAAAGGAGTTCTAGCAATGCCTGAATCTTGCTTTAGCCAATTACTATCTAATTGGGAAAGGCTCACATGTCTTGCAATTTACTTTGATGCAGCTCATTCAACTCATAGTGTACTTATTGGAACATCGCTATAGCAACAAAACAGTGGAATAAAATCTTCAGAATGGAGCTTTAAATGACAAAAGCCTGCATCTCATGGTTGACAAGAAGCCCAACATTCCTTTGTCACTTAAAATTTCTCAATTCTGCATATCTAGAATATAGTCTTATCTATATTCTATTCTTCAGTATTTTCCTATATCATGATTAGTTCTGGAATCATAAACTGTTGAAATGCTAATTCTCTGGGCTCAGAAATCAGATATGTGAAATCATAATGTCCTATGTAAAAGATGACATTTCATTCATTTTTGTGACTTACTAGGCATCACTACCTCTTGTACAATAAATTGAGTTTGTTGCATAGTTGTATAATCCACTGAAAAATTGAACATTCCTGAGGTGTTATAAGAATGTGCAGTTAGTAAATAATTATGTGCCATCAAGTCATTTTTGACTTTTAATAACTACAAAGATTTTCTCCATTATAATCTATCTCTAACCTATTACTATAACTATATATTTATGGTATTCACTAAAGCTAGATCAGCAAAATTTAAGCATTTTTTAAAAATTGTTTTATAAAACACTGCTACATAGGTCTGAGTCATCCTCAAGTACAGAAGTTTTATGGTATGGCATAAAAATACATTCTTCAAGATAATTATGCTTCTGTTATTGTACCTGTTTCCTGTCTAATAATGGTGCATTATATTTGGAAAGAGAAATGGAGAACCATTCAGTAGCGTTGCTGATGACTATATTTTTAGCTAAAACATAAACACATTAAGGCTAATTGAGGGTACAGCTTCTTGTTCTACACCCAGATCCAAAATTACTAGAAGTGGATAATTGTGTCTATATAGTCATAGCCCCAAACCCAATAACTATATGGCTGAGGTCAGGGAGAATAGAGCACCAGAATTTAATCAAGCTGTTTCTTGAAGTATTTTATACAATTCCAATAGCATGCATGGAACAAAAAGTGTTACAGAAAATCCCTTCTTTAAGTGAAAAAAGTTGGGGGGAAAGTGAAGTTGTAAACAAGAAAATGCATTGCCTCATAACAGGTACTTAAGTTAGTTGTACTGATTAATGGAAGCTAACTGTGTCAACATTTTCTTAACATAGATATGAAAACAGTAAAGGACTTAACATTTTGCCAGCATAGCATAGCAGGCAGTTGCAAACACAAAGACTAGCACCAGGTGAAGATTGTTCAAAGGGGGCAGTTTTGACAGTTGTAGGTCAAAGGATTAAAGAAAAAAATGGAAAGGAATATAATAAAATAGCATTGGAAAGTATTAGAGTAGCCTATATTTATCTAAAACTCACTGGCGGCATTAAATACACTCTGCTAAGCTAAGTTTTAACTTTAGTTGTTGGATAAATTACAGCAGCTGAAGTCATGCATTTGCTCAGCCACAAACAAACAAAATGGCATCTTGGCTAAGTGCTGTTTGAACTTACCATTTAAACCAAATTCATATATTCAAATATGGTCCATTAAATGAGTTGAAAGAACACTTTTTAAGATTACTAGACAACCCATAACCTGTTGGGTCAATGTTTCAGAGATATTTCCTTATCTAAGCTGAACTAAATGACCACAGGAGGAAAATAGCAGTGGGAGCAGGAGCAACTTCCATCTTCCTGCAAGTTTCCCTGTTGGCTTTCTTTGTAGGAAGTTGGCAGGGAGTATTAAGAATGATCACATGACTGCAGCAGTTGCCACAACTTTCCCAAATTTCAATCCTCTGGGAGTCATGGGTCCCAGATTTTGTACAGCTTCTATAAGTTTGCCCATCTGAGGTATCTTGATTCAAAAATTGTTATCCTATAATGCACCATTTCATCCAATTAAAGGTTACAAACCATCAGAAATGAGAGTTTTAGTAGTATATAGATGTCTATCATTACATACATATGCAAAATGTCTGCTTTTTAAAAAACAACAGCAATTTATATTCCAACATTGGAGTGGTTATATGATGATTTGTCCTGTTTTTATATTCAGTCTAAACAGATATTCTCATTGCAATAATAGGCAAGCTTTTCAGATTAATTCCCACTGATCTTTCAAGGACTGAATGAGTGAGTAATGGAGCTAGAGAATGGAGCCTGTATAGTAGTACTTAAAATTTTCAATATGATCTAAAATAGGAGTTTGGACTTGACCAGTCCACTGTCAGCAGATTTTGTATGAAGGCTGGCAATCCATCACCACTGTTATCCTCCTTAGGAGTGGTTAACTAACCAAAATAACAAAAACAGTAATGTGCGTAATCCTCCAGGTAACATCTAAGTAACTAAAGGCCTCTGTTGTGTTGATAAAAGTCAGTGCTCATGAGACCACCACTAGGAGTACACTGAATACCAATGGTATACATGATGGGGTTGGAAGAAACTCACTCTCCTCTAAAAAGAACATTATTACCTGTGTATAATGCAATACAGTTTCCAAAAGACCCTACATTAATTCTGTTGTTGGCTGGAATGAAGTGTTTTGTTTGGTGAAAGATAAAACATGGCATTTCAGCATAGGAATCTTATCCTATCTGAGAAATGGTGCAGGAGTACCATGGTTTGGGACTACTTTGCTGTCTTTGGATTAGGATTCATTATTGATGGAATTATGAATTCTGAATTGGACCAATTTTACATGAAAATGTCAGGATATTCGTGAACCGAAACTCGAGAGAAAATGAGTCATGCAGCAAGACTATGACCCAAAATAGACCAATCCTACAACCACAGAATGGTTAAAGCAGAAAAAAAGGTAATGTTTTGGATGGCCCAATCAATGTCCTGAAATTCATCCTATAGAAATATTGTGGAGGGATCTGAATTGGACAGGATATGCAAGGAAATCCACTGACATCTCCAAGTTGAAGCTGCTTCTCTAAGGAGCTATGGGAGCTGGCTAAAATTTCTCCAAGCTGATGGACTGATCAACAGAAGAATTTAATTGCAGTTATTGCTATCTGGGTGTGGGGGAGAAGAGTTTTAGAACTGTTCACACTTTAGATCAGTGGTTCTCAACCTTTTTATACGGCGACCCCAGACATAAGCAGGCGGCGCGCATGTACGGCGGTGCCCCCCTGCACGGCGCGCATGCACGGCGGTGCCCCCCTGCACGGCGCGCATGCGTGGCGGTGCCCCCCCGTGTGGCGCGCATGCGTGGCAGTGCCCCCCTGCGCGGCGCACATGCGTGGTGGTGCCCCCTGTGCGGCATGCATGCGTGGTGGTGCCCCATGCGCAGTGCGCATGCACGGTGGTGCCCCATGCACTGCCCCTGCGCGGCGCACGTGCGCGGTGCCACCTCCATGCACAACACGCATGCGCAGCAGCGCCCCCATGTGCCGCCCCTGTGCGGCGCACATGCGTGGTGGCGCCCCCTGCGCCGGCTGACAAAAAAAATGGCGGGTTGCATTGTTTGGCGACCCCCGTGAAATGGTCGATCGACCCCAAATGGGGTCGCGACCCACAGGTTGAGAACCACTGCTTTAGATCGTATTTATGCTGAAATATTGAAAATTCAAAAGGATTCACAAACTTTTAAGCACTACAGCATATTAGGTCAGAATAAATAATGAGATCCATTCTGGATCTGCATAATTAAATAAGGCTAATCCACCTGCCTTAGTACTGCTGGAAAATAATACACCAAAGTCGAGCTTCAGTAACTCTTTATTTGGCCAAGGCCCTTAGATGGGCAAAGACACAAAGGCACGAGGGTAGCATTGACACACAAACATTCAGTGTGGAGATCAGCTGGTTACAAGGTCTCCAGCATGGCACTTAGGAACACACATTACATGGGTCAATGCTTGACTAAGAACCCCCCTCCCCTATTTTAAACAATCCCATGTTTAATTTTAGTGCACAGAAACATAAAATGATTGACAGATAGAGTTAATCTTTATTGACCCATTTTAACTCAATTGTTATCCCATTGAGGGATTTGCTATCACCTCCAGAAAATTTAACTTTTATTCTGCCAGCCTGGCATTTTCATTCAGCCTGCATCTCTAGCAAGGAACTAATTATCCCTTCCATATCATTGCCCATCTATTTGTAATATATATTAAGAATGCCCTGCAGTCTCCACATTTATTATAAGCTGTTGTGCTAGATTCCAGTGTTACTTAATTCATTTTCTACAATGGTGTTTCTCAACCTTGGCACCTTTAAGATATGTGGACTTCCTGATGACTTCTGGGAGTTGAAGTCCACACATTGTAAAGGTGCCAAGATAGAGAAACACTGTTCTATAAAGATATATAGTATGGCATTATCTAGGAACAGCTGTCTCTTTAGCTTTACAGCATTGTATAAAACATGCTGTTGCTTATTTTGGATACATATAGGGTTAGAAATGCCATTATTGTGTGATATAATATTTTGGACTAGTGATCAGCATCCTGAGATTCATTTTTATTTTAAAGCAAATGTCTAGCCATTAAGGCAGCAAAGTCAGGCTTGAAACATTAATGGAATGTGTGGTAAAATTTCAGAATCCAAAAGAGGGAAGTGTGGGTGGAGACTAAGTATTTGTGTGCAAATAACTTCCAGTTATGAAGTAGGAAGGCATTTGCAAAACTTTGCCTTGTCCTATGATTAGCAGAAGCAAGATTTTAATAAAGTAACGATACTCCCTTTTTAACATTTGTAAAATAATACAGCTGTATGTATATGACACTATGGTAAATGAAAACCATGTAACATCTCTGGAGCTTAGTTAATCTCTTCCTATTGTGGCCCTTAGAAAGTGACCTACATCTCATGTAAGGAAGGGATGATTGTGAAATGATGTCTGTCATACAAGAAGCTCACAGTGAAAGCGGCCTTAGCAAATTGTGTAAAACACAAGGCTAGAGTAAAGAGTGGAAAAGATCCTGGATCTATTCTGGAGCATAAAGCATAGCAGAACTCAGACATTCTTATCATGCTGATCTGCAAAACTGTTAAAAGTCACATTCAGAAAGTCTAGAATTCTTAATTCCACTCAGTATGTTAATTCTTTGCTTTTTGTATTTATTCATTTATTTTTTATAAAGAAAGGAAGACTGAGCAGTGAGGAATCAACTGGAGGTTTAGGGACATATAAGAAGATAGAAAATTAAGCTAAATGCAAGTTCTTTAATCTTCCTTTGACCACTGGAAACCAACTCAGCTGATCATATAATGTTCCAGCTGTGTTAGGTTTGTGGCAAGAAAGATGGATGGATTGTGCCCAACTCAGTTGTGGGGTTATATAGGATTAGCAATCTGTCTAATGGAGAATGCTTCTGACAGAGGAAATGCTATGATCTTGGATGTGATCCTGACAGGAGACATAGGCTTCATGGCTGAGTTTTGGCACCAGTTCACATAATAGGGGCCAGGCTGCTTAAGGAAATGATAAAGGCAAGCAGGATTCAGTTATGATAGTTTGCATCCTAGAGATAGTATTTGCCTCTGTGAATTTTGTACTCCACACTCTTACCAACCTGTGGGTTAGGCTGCCAGTCATAAGAAAGCCCTGTATTATTGTAGAATTTATGCCCCTTATGCTGTCAAGCTGTGTGCCATTTTGGAGGCACTCTGTGCACGTTGGACCACTGTCTGGCACTTTTCCCGTCGCAAGAGTTTGTTGTTTTCAAAAAAGCCTTCATTACGGGGTATCCCATGAGAGCCATCAGGAAAAGTCAAAAGTCCTGTGGGAGAAAATAGAACATTATTGTTCAGTAGGAAAGTTGATTTGTGCATGCAGTACTATGAAATATGTCTGCATGTATCTCAGGGGATGTTATTTTTAAACAAACTCTCACTTATGCCCTGTTCCATGCTGCAGCAGAGTTCCCAATATAGATTTAATCCACAATTATTAGCTTTGCTGCATAGTTATACCCACAGGACGTAGCCTTATCACTCACCAAAGCCATCAACCCGTCCACCCTTGAATTCTCCCTCGAAGATCATGTTGTCATAGCGTGTGAAGACACCAACACCATTGAATTTTCCCTGCATAAATTCCCCCTCATATCTGCAACAATAACAGGAGTGTGTCTGATTGGACGTTGCTATCTCATCTGCAATCACTATAATAAAGTTCTTAAAACAACAGTACTAAACAAAAGGAAAAGGGCCATAGAAGTATTAATGAATTATCTTAAAATGTCCAACAGCCATTCTACAGTCTACTATTGATCTACATGAAAAATTATATGGCAACAAATATTATGGGATATTTTTGTTACATACTTGTATTTAAAAAATTCATGCATGCAAAAAGTAGCAATACACAGTCATTCTGCAAAATTCTTTATCATACCATGGGTAATCTGTACTACATATTTATTCATATTTTCTGAAAATGACTCAGATCATGCATGTGTGTACTCTCTTTGTACTAGCTAGCTGCTAGCACTATGCTACTGAATTCACAATCCAGTACCCACCTGGAACCATCTGCAAAACTGAGCACTCCATATCCATTGAAGAGACCATTTTCAAAATGTCCAACGTAAATGCTGCCATCAGCAAAAGTCAATTGTCCGATTCCATGTCGACGCCCTAATGGGAGAAAATGAGCAGCATTACTTTTCTATCAGTGGCCAAAAAGACAACAATGTTTGGAGGCCATATCTTATCAATCACTATAGTGACATTTTACTTTATATTAGTTTCAAAATGAAAAGAAAATAATAACAGAGTCCATGCCAGATAATCTGGTAGGCAGATCAAGAATAAAAGGAACCTCTTGTTGTTTGTTCCTTTTACCAAATATTATTTATAAAACATATAAAGGCTGCATTATTCCATGCATTATTACATCATGCATAGGTTCACAGCACTCTTTTAAAAAAGATTTATGAATCTCAAGGAAAAGTTCTAGTTTTCTAAATTTGTCTGTGTAGCCACTACTATAAAGACTGTCATATACTGCACTGATTCAAAGTATATCTCTAAAGAACACTTTTTTCCAGCTGAACCCTGTGTTGAAACTGGCTGGAAGTGGAGTTGGCTTAAGAAATTGCTGTCCAGTTTTCAATCCATTTTTCAACTTTGATAATGAAGTTGGCCAGGTGTTCTGGTTACTATGGTCCCAACTGGTATAAAAACAAGAATTCCTTTCTTTTCTAGAAGTAGATTTTTGAGGGCATGTGATTTTCACTGATAGATCTTTGGTATGCCTCATAAACACTCAGTTGACTCTTCCTTATAATTTGGTAAGCTAAAAATAAAATGAAATTTGATAAATAAATAATAAAATATTTCTGTCTGATGCACTGGGTGGATGGGGGCGAAAACATCCTTCTTCCTGTCATTTGCACTAGAAAGAGGAACTAGTAGAACTCTTGTGAATTACAATTGAGTTTTTAAAAAGGAAAGAAATGGTTTCACCACTTTCTTTTATCACTTCTGCAGGAAACTTAAAGCAAAAAAAAAATCCAGCATCTCACCAATATACTGACAGAGAAATAGGGGAAAAAGTCCAATGATCAGTTATCTGTACATACATTTTTGGTATGTTAATTGTACATGTGTATAGGAATCAGTGAAGGGTGCTCCAGAGCACCACTTATCAAAGATAGAAAGAAATCCCATAATATCCAAAAACCACTGTACCTGACAAAGTACTGGAAGTTTCAGTATTTACTTCCTCCCCCACCCCCACCAGAGACTAATGTCCCAAAATAAGTGTGGAGAGCAGTGATCAGTGCTGGATGGGAGTAGGTATGCCAGTAGCTCCATACATTGGACATACTGAAGCACAGATATCGGATACATAAAATGAAAGTGCAACATTACCTCTGTGGACAACAGTAAGTAGATTTATTTACCCCAGTCCTTTCCTTCCAGGCTTTACTCTTCATATAGTCATAAGGTGAGGGGAAAAGTTACACTGAAACAGAATTCCTAAAGTTGCCCCACTTTTGAAGAGCCATTCTAGGATTTTGTTTCTGTCCTGGCAGTAGGAAAAGGCTTTGTTAATTGTCCTATTTGTTGTCAGATAACACAGGTGACTGGAGAACATTAGTTTAACTCCAAACAATAATCCTATTGCTGCCTAGATTTACATATTGTATGACTTGCAAATCCCACATGATCCTATTAAGTATATTGATGTACTCTGGGCCATCATTAGTAACCAATAGTATACTGTACAGGGATAATGAAGGGGGTCATCTCCATCTCCTGATAAAGATATCTGGGTGAGGAGGGCAGAGAGCATAGTATTCTTAGACACTTTTTCAAAGAAAATCTATTTGCAGAACTAGTTTTAGAAGTTCACCAGGAGGAAGCTTATGTTCTTTGTTGCCCACCCTAGTAGAGCCATTCTTTGCAATAGTCAAGATAGTGTCTTGTAGAAACTATTGCAAAGTTGAAATTGAGAGTTTGTAGCCATCCTTCTCTAAAAGCTATGCAAGCATCTTCTTTGTTAAATGGGATGAATCACCTCTACCCACCTGTAATTCCTCATAATGCAAGCTCCTTTTATGAAAGAAATCAGAGGTTTCCTGGCAAGAGCGTGGATTCCTTTCATCAGCTATAACTATGATAGCAATTGTTTTTAAGCACAACATAGTTCTCCAATTTTAGAAATACAGTATGAACACACGGTACATATTTCTTGTTTCTGAGAAAAGAGGTAGTGTAAATACTATTTATTGTTAATGACTAATAGCATTGCAACTGTAGTTTCCAATTGCTTTGTTTTCAGTCCAATTTTCTGTTTACAGATGTGTACGGATTTGAAGTATTCCTTTATTTTTGTGCATCTAATATATGTTTAAAATAAATAAATTCTTTCATTTCACTCTGTTTGTTGAGACTTCTTTTACGTTAGGAGGCTTTACTTGTTCTATGATCATTTTCATAACTTCATCTTAATAGAATTCCTGATCTAACCAATTTCAAAACAGTTTATTCTATTTCTTAATGACAATAGAAAAAAATGATCTGGCTGAATTCTCCATAGTAATAAAAATAGTATGTATTTTTCCCAAGCAGGGTCCCATAAGTAAACTGCATCTATGAAAAATTCACTTACCTTCCTTCCATTCCCCACAGTATTCCTCTCCACTAGAGTAAGTGAATGAGCCCTTAGTCAAGGTCATTATACTAACTTTCAGGAAGACAGGATAGCAGCTGCAACAGAAGGTTCAGGAAAATGAAAACAGCATAAGACAAGTATGAAAGCAGAGAACATTTACAAAATTGTGGGGTCCTTGGTGCTCTTTTAGCTTGGTAGCTAAAAGAGTTTCTTGAAGATGTTTTGTTACCAAACTAGGTAACATCATCAGTGCTAGGAAGGAGTGGAGTTTATATTTACAAAACTATGTACTATGAATGGGAAAGGTAGACAATGGGTATTGTCAAGAGAAAGGGTGCACAGAGTTTCTTACTACAGCAGACTTAGTTTGCCCCATTTTGAAATAAGTAAATAATTACCATCTAAAAGGGCCTCCTATAAGTCCTTTGTCCAAAGTAATCTATCATTAAAATCAGAGCAACCATATTTTATTAGATTTGGCTCCACTTATAAGAAATATGATCTGCACACCATCTGAGCTTGATAGTAAAACAGACATCATTTCTGGTGTTGCACAGACATCACAAAATCATAGTATTCATTTTATGCATGACATTAGCAAACATCACAATATATTTTAGAAAATATATTTTGAAATTACTTCGTTATGGAGTTACACAGTTATTCATAGCTGGGAATGACTAATTAGCCTAAGGACAATATAAAGGACAATATAAAACTCAGAGAAAGTGGTTTAATCCCAAATCAAGAAAAGCCAATGTATTTTCTCATTAAGTTATGAAATAACTGTGCATTGATAGGATTAATGTTTTTATGGTATTGAACATTAAGAATTTTAATGATCAAATTGACAGCATATGTTATATGGATACATCTAACAGGCACATTGTTTTGATGACTGGCAGATTATTTTCAAATGTTCTGATAAAATAAGAATGGGTTAGTGAAATAGTGAAATAATGTATTTAGGATTGAAATAAAATATAGCACTGGAGAGTGCTGCTGTCCAGATTCCAGCTAGCTAGATATCACCCTACAGTTCAACTTATTCCCATATATATTCCTGAAAATGGCATCTTTGAAACATTAACAAAACACCAGACAATCTTTGTATTTTCATATTGATATCACTTAAGATCTTCAAAAACAATTTAGTGATTGAGGATTTGAGAATGACTTCTAAAATACTAATAGTAGCATATTGCAGATAGTGGCCTCAAATCAGACAGTTTCCTTCAGTGTGATAAAAGTAAATTTTTATCCTGTCTTTCCTTAATTAAGTTCAAGAGAGCAAGCAAAGCTACCTCCCCTCTTCTGCACACATACCATGATACCTTAAATTAAAAGAATAAGAATGGACAATGCCATCCATTGTATTTCAGGGTTGAGTCATAATAAATGGAAACTGGTGTTTCCGTTAATATTCTGCAATTATATTCGTATGAACTTCAAAGCAACTGACAGTCTGAAAGAAAATAATAAAAATTAAAATAGATCACTTCCAGTTCAACCATTCCCCTAAATCCTAAACATATAAGAATAAATGTCTTAAACATAGGTTATGATATGCTTTACTCTTGTGGGATCCTCCCTCAAATGGTATTGATGTAGTAGTTCAGTTCTCACTCCAGAGATTGATCTGCAGATTTCATTCTACAGATTTTTCTCCATGCTAGTTGTGAGAGCAACTTTGTGCTTTCACTAGAAAGCATACAGTATTCAATCCTTCTGCAATAAATTTAAGCCTTACATTTTGGGCTGCTACAGTTTATTAATTTTATTTCGCTGTATTAGATTTAAATGCAGCTTGAGCAAAAGAGCACCATGTATGAAGTATTCATGACTGCAATGTATCTGGACTAGCTGTGGATACAACCTAGGTGGTCTCTATCAAAAAAAGAGTGCAGCTGGATCAACTCAAAGATGCAGACCACCCTTGCACAGCAGGTAATCAAATGGAAGTAATCTGAGTTGCATACTAATAGTAGTGAAGTGTAATAGAGTTACTGCCTTTCTTTCAAATAGTTGGAACATCTACATGTTTTATTGAACTGTATCAACTGTGGCATAGATTCTAACAGTCTCATGTCTTTGAGATTCTATCAGCCTCTTTGATTTTGCAAGGTTTCTGTGCTTCTGAGTTGCTTTGTTCATCACAGCTTCAACAGCCCGAGTTGGCTATTGTATCTGTTATATTCCTATGCTTTTGATAGTCACTAAAAACTAGGAAATAAAAAGTGGACAATACTACATAAGGAAACCAATTCCTTACTCATAATTGTTGCTGCTATAGGAATTACTTATGGTTGGCATAGTGAGAACCATTCTTTCCTCTCTAAGTAATGAATGGCTATATGATTACCTTTGGAGAGAAAAGAAAAGCCAAAGATTGCTGGAAAATTAAACATTACAAAAACATTAATGTTTTTTGAAGCTACAATAACCAGTCTGACATATATAAAAAAGCTATTACTACTCATGCTTTCTTTCATCCTGCATGCCCAACTTGTCTTTATTGTTAGTTCTTCAGGAGCAACATTTGGAGATACATCAACTCCAAAGATAATTATATTTTTCATATATTCATCTATTCAGTACAGGGAAATGCACTAATATTCTGCCGGCTTTTCTGTTGCTTTACGCTATATGTTCTGGCTGTAATCCTTTGAGGAAGAATGAGTCACAAATGGTCGGTAAGCAGTAATAGTATATGGGAAAAATGCTCACTTCTCAGTCTCAGTGGTGGCCATATTCCTCAGACATCTCCTATTAATGGATTAGCTATTCAGCATACTAGTGCTATGTGCTTCTCCTGAATCCTCTGTCAGTCATTCTCATACACCATTGGATAAGCTGTTAAGCATGAACATCATTTCTCATACTGGACAGTATATAGTACACAAAGACAGTAATTCCGAGTGTAAAAACCAAGAGGTTCCTGAGAAATAATCACATGTACTATGGATCAACAACAAAAGATGTTATGTTCTGTTTTCTTGATAACATCTCCAATTCATTTTAAATTTCTTTTTTATTTGTAAGGATCAACTTAGAAAAAATAGCCTTTTTTGTCCATAGCAAATAAAGCCAAGATTATAAAAACAGGAGTGCTCATTTACTATATTATATTAAATGAGAAAACTAGCAGCATAATAACTGTGAAGTGAACTAAGATTTCAAAACTAGTCTCAGATTCAAGCCATACAATATCATACATATACCAATACATCTTGTAGGAGAAAGTATAGAGGAATGTTCCCCAACTTGATTTTCTCCAGATGTGTTGGATGACAACTTCCATAATATCCAGCCAGTGTGTCTATGCTGGCTGAAGAAAGCAAGACCGATCATTCAATATATCTGGAATATGCTAGGTAGGATAAGGCTGGTACAAAGGAGCAAAATGCATTGTTCATCTTTTCTCAAATGCCAACCAGTCACATTTTTAAAAAGTTGCTGCTGTGGAAAGATACATTTGCTTTCCTTTGAAGTGAAGATTTTGTAATTAATAATCAAAGCTGGCTAAAGGGCTACACAAAAAGAATTAGAGACCTGCTTGTTCTTTCATGGATCTTACAGTATAATGACTACTACTTCCCTGGAAATAATTACAGCTATTTTATACGGAGCAGAGCAACTGCAGTTGCTCAGCAGCAAATTATGCGGGTAGCAGTTTCCCAATTTCTGAGGACATCTCCACACACTCCCTTAATCAGCAGAATGTGATTCAATGAACAAAAAGCCAGCAATCAAAGAGGACCTACTGTACTCCTGTGTTTTAGTTTCTCCTTTCAGGCAATGCTAACGTCCTGAGTCATCACTTACCCCCAGGCAGCATCCCTCAGTAGTGGAATCAAAACTGCTCACTGCAAAGTCTCTTTTGACAGCTTCGCGACCGAGCCCAGCATCCTTAAGTCATGCCCTGCATCCCGAAACCACGCCCATCTAGTAGACTACAACGGCTCTGCACCCCGCTTTACCGGTCGTGCTGCTTGTTTCCACTCAGCCTTTCTTCACGTTGCAGTTTCCTGCCCCCAAAGCCTTCCTATCCGCCCGGATTCCACGCAACATTCCCGGCCACGTCATCCCTAGGCTTTTATCTATTCATTGCACCACCAATGACCGCGCCCCTCACCTGGATGCAAGCTTTGTAGCAGCTGCCACCAGCCGCACGCCCATTTGCTCTCCCCCATGGGCCACCGCCTCCCTCCCTCCGCTATGCCAGGCTTCCCCCCATCCATCTCTCAGGGCACTCGCCCACTAAGAATTGTCCGCTCTCGCTGTTGGTGGTTTCCTAGACTACCGGTAGTAACGCGCCCCTCTATTGCCCAGCCTTCCGGCTAATTCTCCCTTCTAATTCTCCCTTCCCTCCGTGGCCTTCTTTGTGAAGGGCAAGGAAATTTTCACGGAACGGCCATATTTCTGAGGGGCAAAAAGACAAGGTTTTTCCTCTCAACAGAAGCGAGAGGCTGCGGTGCTGAGGCTCTCCAGCGCTCCCTTCATCTGCGGGGAGATGTCTGCTGCAGCTCCCAAGAGACAAAATTTGGGAAAGGATGCTGAAATAGGCAGTACCCTTGAAGAAGAAGGTCAAAAAGGCTTTTACGAAACAATAAAACTGTTTTCAAGTTTCTGACTTTTGTTCAGTAAGGAATGCAATGAATGTTTCTTTATGACTACTGGATAATTTTGGATAAGATGGCTGAATTTTGTTGAATGATATTTATGCATTGAAGTTGTTTTTAAACTGTCTGTTAAAATCTTACACCCCCCCCCCAAAAAATGATAGTGATCCACAGTAAGGAAATGAGTATTTCATTTCAACTCCATGTATGTTTGAAGCAATTCCATTAATAATAACAATTTATTAAGCTTGTATGCTGCCCTCTAGGCAGTATCAGAATCCCTACATGTGTTAGGGGATTTAGAGAAAGACATTTTTTTTAAAAAAAAAACAAAGCCACCAGTTTCAAGGAACTTGGAAGATGTAAGTTGTGCCTTAACTATGACCTTTTTATTGCCAGAAACATTCAAACTAACTATCAGAAAATAGACCAGCAAAACAAAAAGGTGTTTGATTTTAACTTATGACACAACAGCTGGTTACAATAGCCATTTGAACAAAATAAAATTTAATTTTATTAAATTAAAAAGCCACACTCAGCCAGGAATTATCCAGAACCAAAGAAAAAATACAGAAGGATGAAAGAAACAATGTAATCTACAAAATCAGCTTTAATCATTGCAACCAATTCTACGTGGAACAAAGATCACATCAATTAAAAACTAGGATCCATGAACACCGGCTGGCAGTCAAATGCCACGATTCCAAATCCTTAATCTCTACCCACACCGACACCAAGGAGCACAAGTTCAATTGGAGCAGCACAAAAATCATCGGCCGCCCTCATTCTACACCCAAGCTATATGCCATGCTACTGAGTTCATCGAAGCCTGGCACTTGACAAGCAATTCCATCAACAGACACATCAACCTACAACCAGCCTACAAACTACCCTCAACCAACCCTCGCAAGCCCCTCTCCCACCAGCAGTTCACCTCCCAATGACCCTGACCTGGTATAACCTCCCCATCACAAGACCCATCACAAGATGTATCACAGACCCTCACTTGACACACCCACACCTGAAGCCTTATAAACAGAAGAACACTGACACTGACATCTGCCTAAACTCTGCTGAAGATGTTGCCTAGCTTGGTAATGAAACATTCAGAAACCAACCCACAAGCTTGGAGAACGAACCTTCACCCTCATCCTACACCCAAGCTACAGATAGTTGCCACTATTGCATAAAATTTAATGGGTTAGAGGAGTTATATTAAACAACTGTGACCCATTTGATTATCTTTTCAGAGATACTTCCTGAATGCCTTTAACAATGGACAAGCTTCTAATTTACTGCCTTCCCTGGAAAAGGGAGGGAGAGAGATATTCAGAGATGTATTTGTCCTGAAAATAGCCCATAGTGAACTCTATAGCATAATAAAACATTAAGAGTTGACCACAGGAAATGTTTTATGACATTTTGTATTAATTTTTATGTTACTAAATATTTTATAAAATTTGCCAAATTTCAATTCCATGGGTATCACAGATTTTGGATTTTGGACATGTTCTGCAAGCTAGCCCGTTTGAGGTACCTTGGTTCAAAAATTGTTGCCTGATGATGCATTGTTTCACCCAGTTAAAGATTACACACAAACATGAGAATTTTACTAGTATATAGATTACGACTGATATATTAGCATTGAGGCTAGGCAAATATCAGAAAACTTCTGCTTTACCAACTTAGACATGTGTTTTGACCTTACCTTTGCAGAACATGGGATGGAGGTGGTGTGACCTTTCTGGGCCTCTCTGGCCTTTCGATACCATCAACCATGGTCTCCTTCCAGAGTGGCCTTGAGGCTTGTGAATGAGAGGCACTGTGTTGTGATAGTTCTCCCTCCATGGCCTGTTCCATTCAGTGTTGGCAGTGGTTGAGAAGTTAAGCCATAGGCCCCTGCAATATGGGATGTCCAGTGCTGGAGCCTTTCGCCATTCTCTTTTAACAGTTGCATGAACTGCTAGGTCTTCTGGCATTTGTTGGCATAAAATTTAATATCATCAGTATGCTAATGGTACCTAATTATATATCTTTGGCAGGGGAGGTACTGTCTTCAACTCAATCCTGGCAAGATTCATGGGTATGGGTTTCTCCCCCCCCCCGGTCTAAATAATACTTTATTTTGACTTTGGATACAGTGGCACTTCACCAAATTGAGCTGGTGCACAATTGGGGGGGGGTGTTCTTCTGAACTCACAACTTCTACTCAAGGAGCAGATGGCAGTTGTGGCTAGGGGGACCTTTGCATAGATTTGTCTAGTGTGCTAATTGTTTCCTTTCCTGACCTTGCTCACGGTCACTCATACCTTGGTCACTCCCTGTTTGGATTATTGCAATGCATTTTAAATAGATCTGCCCTCGAAGTCCACCAAGAAACTTCAACTGTTTCAGAATGCAGAGCATGCATAGTAATGGGGTCCCTAGGTTTTCTCATGTAACACCTCTGTTTTGTGAACTGCACTGCTTCCAGTTTCCTTGCAGGTGTAACTCAAGGTGCTGGTCATCACATTTAAAGCCCTAAATGGCACAGGATCAGGTTATTTGTGGGACTGTTTTTCCCTAAGGACATTTACTCATCCTATTAGGTCAGACAGCGTGGCGTGCTCCTAGTCCCTCCTCTAAATGTTGCCATCTGATGGGAGCTAGAGAGTGTGCCATTTCCCTGGCAGCCCCTGCCCTATGGGAATACTCTGCCCCCTAAAATTCAGTAGGCCTCTACCTTCCTAGCCTTGCATAAAGACCTGGCTTTCTCCTCAAGTGCTAGAATAAGATTAGGCAACTGCATATCTGAAGTACCAGGTTTTTGTTGTTTTTGATGATTTTTAATATATTTAATTTTATAGTTTTAATATGGCTTTTATGTTGTTTTAACTTTTGATTGGGAGCCACCAATCAGCACAAATTTGTTATAAGATGAACTCACACACACATAATAAACAATGAATTCTTGTGAGGAGACTTGTTCATTGTAGTATGAGTTTTAACTGTATATATTTTTTATAATTTTTATAAATTTGTGTTTTATACTTTGTCGGATGCCCAGAGTTACAAGATGGCAGGGATATAAAGTATGTAAATATACAATATACCCCCCATAAACCCATTATCTAAGTAAATAAGCAATAAGTCTCTGGATGATTGACCATATTAACAGAAAAACAGAATTTAAAAAAGAGAAGTAACATTGTCTATAATAATAAATAATAATCTAGCCCCAAGAGCACCATTTTTCTATTCCCTAAAAGGTTTTGGAAATAAATTACTCTTAATTAATGTAAATCATGTAAAATCATCTGAAATATGACATGTCATATTTTCTCATTTCTAATTCCAAATAAGTCATGAATATAGTAAAAAGGTACTGAATTGCTATAAAATTCCTACAGGTCAAGCTATATGTTTACTAAAAATACCAATAACTGCAACATTTTTTTTCTCTTTCCTTAGTGTGTCCTACAGTATCCTAACTTATTTTAGTAAGAGTTGGATAAAACTCTTATAATGTAAACCAATCTGGGAGTTTACATTTTTCTCCACTGTGAAAATTTCCTTTTTTATAGCATATGAGATCACCCAAATTCTTATTCTATGATAGCTAAGTGAAATTAAATGGATCATAATAATTTGTTTAACTATGCTTTAGTAAATAAATCATATTTGACTGGTTTATAATTATACAATGCATTGAGCCATAAATCACACTTTAAAAAATAGAGTATGCTAATCCAAAAGCAAACAAATTAAGTTATTCCCTTTCTATTGCTTGAATCAAGGTATCCTAATGAATAGGTAAATGGAAGAATTTAGTTTTAAAAATATAAATTTGAGTATTACACAATAGTAGTTCAATGTTATTTTTCATTGAAGAATGGATATATATCTGACATCCCTATGATTATTCTATAAAGATTTCATACATGACACAGCCAGCATGCATTGGAATGAATATATTGTGAATTGTGTTTATATTGATATTAACAGTTTTGGTGACATCATGCAAGCACTTGAGAAATAAAAATGTTTTGCCAGAAAAAGATTTCATTATATTCAATATATTATGCAACTCTTAGGCTAAGTAGTTCTGAATGAAAATAATGAAATAAAACATGCAATAGTGTCCAATAGCTGATGATTTTGAGATGCACACTAAGGCTATTAAGGAAGTGGGAAGGGGGTTAAATTTTCAAGTGTTTATAGCTTAAAGCAAAACATTCTCCCTTCCCCCCCTTTAAATAGGAACTGTCATTTTGAAGAAGGAGCACAGCATTTGCAACACAGCGTTGGCGGTGGGGCGAGGAGGGCAGGAATTGGCAAGTTCATGCTGTTCTGGAACAAGTTGAGACGGAGTTGGGGATGTAGGAGTTGCAACTTTTCTCCAACATTTTTATGTCACAGCAGCCAGAAATACCAACTCTGTCAATTTCCCAACATTAGAATAACTGAAACTAAAGACCAGGGCAGCAGATAATTAAAGCAGATGAGTTC